CTGCCGCGTTCCCTCCTGCCGATACGATCCCCTCGCATCCCTCTGGCCCATCGTGCGTCGCGCCACCGGCGCAGCCGCTATCCACCACCCCTCTGATTCGGCCGGTCGCGAGCACAACCCCTCTCGACTGCTGGGCCGGGCGGGGGGAACCGGCGGGACCACAATTATAAGTAGGGGTGCACCCGGCCTTGCTACCTCCAGTTGAGGGTTGCACTTCTTGGTGAGTACGCGCGCGCGCGCGCAGCTACTCGTCGTTTACCCCGCACACACGATCGCATAGGGCGCACGCGTGTGAAAGGAAACATATACATATATAGCGTGGGAGCATTTCTCGCAGCTGAGCGAGGGTGGAAGGAGGACGGAGTATAATCTCTCTTTCTCTCTCTCTCTCTCTCTCTCGAGGGAAACCGGGGCGAGCGAGAGATCGCCATCTGTCGTTGAGCCCGCGCCGGTACAGTTGCCTCTGCGGTTATCAGTGGTTGTCGCAGGTGCCGCGGGGTGGCGTTAGTGCGGCCGGTCAGTGCCGCGTACGGTGCGATTCAAGAGGAAAAAGGAGAGAAACGCTTATACCTCGTCGAAGGGAATGAAAAAGAGATAGAGATACGAGTGAAACGACGAGTGAACAGAGACGGAGAGACCGGGGAGAGAACACAGAAAAGGGACGTTTCGACGTGGTGTGACTTTGCGTGCGCGCGAATGCGCCGCGCGCGTAGCGTGCACCTCTTCTGGATTCGGATACTCTGGGGATCGAGTCGCGCCTCGAGTCGCGAGGACGTCCAATCTTGATCACGAAACGGTGTCTCCGATCGCCGGCACCTTTTCGTCTTCGCGCCTCGCTCTCTCTCCTACCCCAACTAGCCCTTTTTTCGCGGCCCTCTGCCTCCTCCCCTGTCCGGGTGATACGAGGTGAGGAAAGACCCCTTCCGCCGTGCGCGCGACGGGCGCATTGACTCTCTCTCGTTCATCTTCGATTCGTCACACACGAGCCGTACGGGCATCCTTGTCTCCTCCACCTCTACCACACCACTGCAGCCACCCCACCATTGGACCCTCTCGCTGTTGCCCCCTCCATTTCTTCTCCGTCGGCCCTACTTCGGCGCCCTTCTCCGTCACGGCGCTGCCGCCGATCGCCGAGGGAGTATTCCTCGCGGCGCGCGACGACGGGTGATCAGTGCGTGACTCGTCGTTGTTGCGGCGATTGCCGAGGACGAGAGAGCGTCGTAATTCGTCGTTCCGGCGTCGTTCCGTCAGTGCTCACTCGCTAACTGTAGAAAATATGATCGCGATGAGTTGCTCGTAACTCGTGCACGAAAAAAGAAAGGAGCAAAAAGAGATTTCACGACGATCATCGGTAAGAGAGATAGAAAGAAAGAGGAGGATCGGCTTCATTATTCCCCAGCTAGATATACGCGAGGATCGTCGTTTCCTCCCGGCGAGTCTCAGCGCGTCTTTCGCCCACGGATATACTGGAATAAAGTGTGTCAACGGCAAGTGTGTAAAAAAAGTGAAAACCTGCTCGTGCGATATATCACTTGGAATTTCATTTGTACGTAGAAATAGCCCGGTCCGTGGAAAAAAATCGTAATATCTGCCGCGTGACGCGGAGTGCAAAGTGGTAAACGAGTTGAATTTGGCCGCGATTCGGCGCTCGAGTACCAACGCTCGGCGTTCGTGCGCGCCTCTCGGCCTCGTCCGTTCCGTCCGTTCCGTTCGTTCCGTTTGTCGATTGAATTCGTTCGTCGGCTCGCGCGCGGCAACGGCTCGCTTACACCGACAGCGTATACCGGCCCGCGGTACGTGACTATGCAGCAGCCCCGCGGCATCGCGGCGAGACGCAGGTAACGCCGACGGGAAGGCGCGACGCGACGAGACGGGACGAGCAGCAGAACGCGCCGAGCGGATCGCCGCTCACATCCGCGCTGCCTCCGCCGCCGCCCGGGGAAGCGCCGGCGGCGTGTAAACACCGAGGGATAACGCGAGGACGCGTCAACATGTGGACCACGATGCTCGTGTGGACGGCCGTCGTCGTTCTCCTGCCGACGCCTCGAGCGGTAAGTCACCACCTACCTCATCTCTCACAATCATCGTCTCCTCTCTCGCGTTTCATCGGCGAACATTTCAGCTCGACCCCCTCCCCCT